GCGATAAACCGGCACGTGATCGGAGGTAAGTTCAACTTTAACACCAAGGACATTGGAATGTCAGATTGTAAGCACAATGTCTAAAATATCTCCTTCTTCTAGGGTTATCTAGGAGGTACGTATAAACTGAAGGTGCGTAGAAATAGATAGGATAGTTATTGATAAACTCAATTAGGACTTCGCCATTATTGTTGGTTCTTCGGCAGCCCCATTCAGTATGTTTTGAATTCAGATCTCCAGCCAGGATGATTTGTTTATTATTTGGGAGAAGTTCCGTAAATTTGTCAATATCCAATACATTGTTCGGTGGATTATAAATTGCAACAAAATAGACAACTCCATAAAATGGGAGTAAAACTGAGGCAGTAACTGCTTCATATCCATTATCACGATCTTCGCTGATGAGGCAAGATTGCAGGGTGTTTTTCACAAAAATCGCTGCCCCACCACCTCTATGGCTTAGTCTGTCACATCTATAACATCTATAGTTTGCGATGTTCAAATGACTGATATTTAATTTATCATTTCTTCTTATAAAAGGGTAAAGAGACATTTTACAGCGGTGGCTTTGCGCAAGGCATACTCCGTGTGTTCTTTGAATAACAGCTGTGAGTCGAAGACCACTCCTAGATACTTGGTACTTGAAACAATTGCTAGGGGTTGATCGTTAATTTTTATATTTACATTCACAGGAGTGAACTTCCGATGACGTCTGAAAAGGAGAATTTGGCTCTTTGAGGGATTCACTTTTAATTTCCATGAATCATAATAGTGTACTATGATATTTACTGCGCTTTCAAGTTTATCTACCGCGAGCTGAGGTTTTAGCGACTTGGTAAAAGTTGCTGTGTCTTCCTCATATTTCACTACTTTTGCATTCTTATAAAAAGCCCTCTCACACTGGGATTTATCTGCGTACAGGAGTCGACTCTATATGTCAAGTAGCTCCATCAAGGGCCGTTCAGACTGGGGTTTATCTGAGCTAACAGAGTCAGTTCCATGTGTCGACTAGCTCCGCTATACGTGCAGTTCAACTTTTTCAATTCGCTGAGCTATGTGGAAAACTGGTTTTGGAGATGGTTTGGCTACGCCAATTATCTCCGTTTCCACTGGGGTTTATCTGAGCTAACGAACACAACTGACATAGCTGACCTATCTCCAAAACCAATTTTTCCCCACAGAGCAGCAAGTTGAAAAATCTGAACTGCAGACACAGCGGAGCTAGTCGACACATGGAACAGATTCCGTTAGCTCAGATAAACCCCAGTCTGAACGGCCCTTTATACTTAAGTTCAAATTTTTCGATTCGCTCCTCTATGAAGAAAAACCGGTTTTGGAGCAGCGCCGGTTGTGTCAGATGTCTACGTTAGCTCAGATTAAACCTAATGTGAACAACAGCGCTTAATAAATAAACTAACCCAAATGGGTTTTCTGCTTCGTCTGACATATTCCCTCCCGGCTGTCCTTTTGATCACATCCGGAGGAGTAGGGAGGATTCATAGAAACTTTACAACAGTTGGCTATTGCAGCTCGAAAAAACTGGTGATAGCTCCTCATTTCACAAGTAAGAATTTTTAGATATTTTTCTCGTTGATTTATAAAAATTTAGCATGTTTATTAAGCATAATTAAGGTTCCAAATAATTATAAAGCTGTTGCATACTTTCAAGCGTGTACATTTTTTAGCTTTTTTCTATGCTGTAAAAAAATTTTTAACTACTTCATTTAGAAAATATTATTTCAAATCTGAGCTAACCAAAAAAATCAAACAAACAATTTTCACTTACAATTTTTATGCTTTTTATTGGTGTCAATAAGTAAAAAAATACTAAAATGCCTAAAAATGAATTCTTGAAAGTTTTTGTTTAAAATTTTTAATTGTTCTGCTACTTTTTTTAAATTACACGTAAATATTATAGCATAACATTCCTCAAAGGAGTTTTGTTTCTATTGCATTTCATAATACATCATAGTGATAAACACTTTTAACATTTTAATAGTTTTTATACATTTATTCTAGTGTTAAAAATTGTATTTAATTGTAATAATTAATAGTGCTAGTATTTTATAGAGATGATTTTTTAATTTATTCTTTGTTCTGCATATGATTTTTTTTTATTTACTGCGAATTTATTTTACCTTTCACTACACTCAGAAAAGTCCTATAAATTATTAAAATAAATAATCATCTTATGATCATCCTGTACTGCTAATAATTAATGATCATATAATCAAATAAATAACCATTTTGTAATGTTATAATAATTTAAAAACAACTGTCTGAATATGCTCTTAAAATTGAGAAAAATTATCAGATCATGTTTAACTTTACCTGATTTATTTCAAACCATCATGTACTATCATTCTTATTTAATTTTGCTTTATTTGTACACAAAATTAAGTTCATAAATTTTCTGCTTAGATTTTTTACCGTTTTATCAAAGTAAAAATGTTTATGCAAGAGTTACGCTTGAAAAAAGTGCACAAAATTCATTAAAAAGTGCTTTCATGAGATACATTAAAACTTATTTGCGAAAACTGTGACTTTCATAATCTGATCACTTATACAACGTATCACTTTTAATAATAAAAAACAGTTATGTGATACAAACGCCTTAGGTTTCAGTGTTAAAGAAAACCAGATCTTCCTTACTCCTTCTTCCAGACATGTGGGAACACCCGCTGCGCCTATTTGGTTAGTTTATCTCTTATAAGGTCCGTGACCTTGATCCGTCTGCAGCTAAATTTCCCGACAATCTCATGTATGAAATTTTGCCAGAGAATTGTAACATCGGTCCTTATGCAGGTTAGACAAATTAATTACTAATATATTTTCAGATGTCTGCTTTTATCCCTACCTCCTCTGACGTATTTGCAATAAGAAATTAATTTTCTGATACATGCATGACTTGATGACTCAACTCACGTACGTAGATATAATAACATACGTAGATATAATAAAATTAAAACTCCTTAATGGTTTGTTTATCGTTTTTTCTATATTTAATGATTTCTATCGTTTGCGGTCATGTACTTTTGAAATAATATACTGTTGTAAAATTTTAAATAAGCAATCCTATGTGGTTTAGGATCGAAAGAGTTTATTTGACATTACTTCTTAAGGGGGAAATTGTTTCGATTTACGAATATTTCTGTTTGTGAAAGGCATTTATGAAAGGATTACGCTCGTGAACCGAGGTTTCTTTGTGCTAAAAATGAAAAGTATTTCGTTGGAACTCTCGGACATGCCGTTACATTTCAAAACATTCTGTTTTATTAGTGTTTTCAAAGAACAGAAGAGTAGAATAAGGCTATTGTTATAAAAGTTATTATATATGTCGTTATTGTTAATGATGTCATTCGGTTACTGACCGGATATACTGACCGGAACCTGGATAATGGTTAGTGACTCGACCACCGTATCGAAGGGTCCTGGTTCGGGATATTGGGCGAGTCCACTCGAGAGGTTGGAGGTAGGGAAAGACGGGTGGAAAACCCTCGGATCTTTTGCCCCCTCCAGGGTGCTCCCCCTCAAAACTGGAGACAGAGCTGAGCGTGAGCTGGGCTATCATCTATATAGTACTCAAAGCTCTTGGTAAGGACAGACTCATATTACTCCTTGCCATATATTACTCCTTGAGTGTCGTGGGCTTGGTGCTGAGCTTTGTCAGATAAGTGAGATTAGTAACAACAACAGCATCCGGATATTAATATCGAATTTCCGAAGTTCCGCCGGTTTCTTTAAGAAAGCATGGAAAATTCATGTCTTAATGTGATCCGCAATTCGGTTAATATGATAAAATATTACGGAATAAATTTTTTTAAATCGTCGGAGCTAAAGATAAATTCGTCAAATAAGGTCAAAACAGATTATAAAATGTGGCAATTGACAGAGAAATGTCGCCAAGGATAGCAAAATTAGCTTGTTTCCGATTTCAGTTAACCATTAAAACTAGGCAAAAAGCAATCTTAGTCCGAAGCAGTTTTGAGGACAGCTAGACACAGGTCCCTCTTCTTCGTTTTTTTTTTTTTTTTTTTTTTTTTTTTTTTTTTTTAAATGAAAAGAACATTATCTGGAAACATCTACGATTTGAAGTTACTTTTTTACTTTTTGCTTGATTTTAAATTTGATATTGCATGTTTTCTTCCATTGAGGGATGCCCGTTGAAGATTAGTTTTAAAAATACATCATTGGTCAAATAATTTCCTGAAATGTTATAAAAAAATCATGAACAAATGTTTGCAATTTTTTTAATTAAAACACGGCGGAAATAACTATTTCTATATACATTTGGATTGAATTAAACTTAAACAAAAACAAATGGGTATAATTTATTAATCATTAGATATTAAGCACAAAAGCAATTTTAATAACTGGTGTTTACCCGAGAATTAATTATAATACAGCGACGCAAAGAATGAATCTGGGAATGATTTTGAACAAGATTCGATTAAAAAATTCAAAAAAGAACTTTTTGAAACCACACACAAAATAACGGAACATCTTTGAAATCTTTTCATATAACTAAAACAAATTTTATTGAGTTTGGCCTGGTCCCCGACGAACTCTGAACTCGAATTGAATTCAATTAAATATGAATACCTTGTCATTTCCTTCAAAGTAACCTCGGTTTTATGACAAAAAAATAAAGATATTTCATTGTACAATTTTCAAATTATATCTTTACTCTTTACTTAATTTTTGCTAGAAAACAATTTTAGTCTAGCATTTTTATATTCAAAACTTTTCGGTCCTGAGAAGAGAATTATAATGTAATTTTAATTTATATTAAGTTAGTTATATTCCAGTGTTGTTTCGAACATTACTTTTTCTAATTGTTTAAAATTGTTATTCTATTAAGGTTATCAAAATAGTCGTGGACTAACATGAGAACATTAAGCCACGCCTAACATAACTTCATAGTAATATTTTTACCGTTATAATTACTATTAATGATGAAAATATTTCAAAAATATAACCGAAGCACTTCTGTTTTCCAGGTGAAGTTTATGTAATCGTGGAATACTGCCGTTACGGAAATCTACGCAACTACCTTCTCCGTCACAGAGACAAATTCATCAATGAACTGGATGAACACACTGGAAAAGTGATACCGACGATGACTGATTACATTACGGATAATCTAGAACTGGTAGAGAGTGAAGTTAAGTTTGATACTGCTCGCTCTTCAGCAATTTTTGCAGTGGATAATCCTAATTACAGGTGAAGAAAAACCGTGTTGTTTTGCACCTTCTAACACTACCATGTCCATCAAAGCATACATTATAGACTAAATTTTTATAGATTTGTATTAATTTAAAATATCAGTACCTTTTTGTCTCCTTCCAAGTAACCACTGTAAGAAGCCACGCAGTGTTAAAGTTGTACGAACCGATCCGGAACTGATTCACTTTATTAAGCGAATGAACAGCGTTTCCAAAAAAAAGGAGTGGTAACATTTTTACAAATCCCAGACAGCTCTTGATTAAAGCTTGCCAGAAACATAAATCTGCTATTCATTCACGAATTCATTGCCTTTGCTAAGGGAGCAATTGTCAGATTCGCGGAAAAAGAACGACGCTGCTGTTGGAAGTGTGTCAGGAAAGTTCCATTCCCATTTTAAGGAAAAACCTAGAATATACTTGTAAATAGAGAACCTAGAGTATAGATTATACCTATATATATAGATTTAGAGATAGAACCTAGAATATAGATTTAGAACAGTTATCCTTGCATGTTAAAAGAGAGTTTAATAATTATCCTTTCCCAACTTTTGGAAACATTTTATTCTAGAATTTTTAATGCTAATTCCGTGTAGGAAGGAGGATTTAGGGAGACTCAAACCTACAATTTCACTCAGTCGGAGGCCTTATTACTTAGGCAAGTAATCGCCCTTAATATGGATTAACAACCATCCACCGAAGACGGTCAGTGTGGGCGCAGCCCTCACAGTTTGGCAAGCATGGGGGCTCAGTGCCCCCATGCTTGACAAATTGAACGAAGACTGCCTGCAACAAGGGTCACCATTCCAGTTGTGAAGCTCAAAAGTTAGGCAGAGACACCTTTGCGATCCAGGCACCACTCCAGTCGTGAACGGTGTTCTTAACTGTAATGCAGTGGGGAACCATACAGTGTAATCTTGAACGGTGTTCTTACTGTAATGCAGTGGCAGTGTCTTAACTGTAATGTTTACTGTAGTGGTGGCGCATTAGCAGAACCATACCCGCTTAGACCACAGCCACCATGTACTATTTAGTGGAGAACCACAGCCCTGGGAACGAACAAGATAGTACCAGTACGGTTCCTGCCGAGCCTGAACCAACCATTGAATGTACAATGGTTCTATTCCTATGAAGTCTGTGCCCCCAAATTTGAGACTGCCTAATTACAGATCCTAACCAGTACTTCCCAGGAATTCTCCTGACTGAAATCCCAGAGGGGGTACCTCAAAATGCAGTTAAAGTGAATCAGTTCACGGAGTTAGCATTTTGTTAAGTCAATTCTTCTGATAACATTCCTCGATAAGATTAAAACACTAAGAAACGTCAAAATCATCCATGTAATCCATTCATTCCATCATATTAGAACATTCAGAAAATTTCACAACTTTTCATGCAATCCATTCATTCCGGCATATTAGACAAGCAAAAATCATCACAATCTTTCATGGAATTCATTCATCCTGACGTATTAGACCAGCACGAAAACGTCACAATCTTTTATGTAATCCATTCACTCCAGCAAGAAAACGTCACAATCTTTCGTGTAATTCATTCATTCCAGCATATTAGAGCAGCAAGAAAACGTCACAATCTTTAATGTGATCCATTCATTCCGGCGTATTAGAACAGCAAGAAAAAGTCACAATCTTTATGTAATCCATTCCTTTCAGCATATTAGAACAGCAAGAACCCCACTATCTTTCATGTAATCCATTCATTCCAACATATTAAAGTCAAGAAAACGTCACAATGCTTCATGTAATTGATTCATTGCAGCATATTAGAACAGCAAGAAAACGTCAAAACTTCTCATGTATTCCATTCAGTTCAGTATATTATGACAGCAAGAAAACGTCTCAATCTTTCATGTAATCCTTTCATTCCAGTATATTAGAACAGCAAGAAAACGTCCCAGTCTTTCATATAATTCATTCATTCCAGCATATTAGAACATCAAGAAAACTTTATAATATTTTATATAATCAATTCATTCCAGCATACAGTAAAAGACAATATTAATATTATCATACCTGTTTAAACGAAAGGCCGCATAGCAAATAATTCTTCTCTTCTGCAGGCCGAAGGTGTATAAAGTCTCTAGTAACGACTCGAAAGTTTCTTCAAGAGGTCGGACTGCTAGCTGTTCTACCACCTGCTCGTCTGGCTCAAGCACCGCATTCCGCAATTATGATAGAATAGATAGTCATGATCACGTCATTACGACTTCTGATCTTCTGTGTTATGCATTCCAGTGCGCACGAGGGATGGATTATCTGGCTTCTCGAAAAGTAGGCTCTATTTAATTGTTCATATTTGTTCAGTTTTAAACAAAAAGAATTTTAAAAGCACTTAAAAATAAGTTATGAAATGTACAAAATCAGCCGGGAGAGATTTCGTAAAATGTGTAAATTTAATATGTTCAGCAATCAGGGACTTCTTAATATGTTTAAGAACATGTTTTCAAATTGTACAAGTTCTTATTATTGCATTATTATTATTGCTATTACTGTATTTCCTTGCGCATCCCCCCTTTAACTAATTTCATGGACGCAAAATCAAGAGGAGAAAATTGTGCGAATAATTTAACTTTCGGAGAACCCTGCTAGAGCAAGAATATAGTAAATGGAAAGTAGTCACGGATAAACTGGTCCTATCATAATATTATTCCTTTAATAGAAACCTACATTCTGCTCAAGATACGTAGTAATATTAACATTAAAATACATTACATTAATTGAGCTAGACATTTAGCGCTGCGGCTCAGTGACCTTGTAAAGCCGCTGGAGCATCCTTTCCTAGCTCAGAATATCCACTCTAATGCAAGTCATGTGTACTGTTTCATAAAATGAAAGAGAGCTCGCCGGGCAGCAAACTGGTAAATTGCGAACCATTTTATAATTTTATACTTACGTTAACTAAAGTATTCGCAGAAATCTTGGAGTATGGCATTCCTGAGGAATCTTTTACGCCATACTCTGGTCATTTGCTGCGTACTACACTGAATAATCAAGCTGAGCAGTGAGAAAGCAGAATTCCCTACTGCTCTTATTATTCAGCTTGATATTCTGTGTTTGCAAATGCGTGAGTTTTGAGAGACTAGCAGAATCGACACCGACCAGTCTCCACACCTCTCCGGTCTTCATTTTAGAAGCAAAGCGCTTCAAACTGTTCTCTCCTAGTCAGGTACTTACGTCTTACGGAGAATTTTCTTTACGATTACATAACAGGTTGGAACTCTCTCAGTAACTGGTAGGAATAGGGAAAACTATTACCTGCTGCAGGCTAGTATGCTGGCCAAGTATCAAAGTAACTACAGTAGAGGTGGCATAATGTGATCGTGATCGATGCTATCTTTCGAATAATGTTATCGGGTTACCGAAGTTCCGCCCGTTTGTATACGAAAACGTGGAAAATACATCCCTCACAGGGATCAACATTTCGGTTAATATGATCAAAATACTGTAAAATAAATTGTTTGAACTGAAGTAAAGTCCCCAGATAGAGTCAAAATAGAATATAAAAGTTGTCAACTTACAGTGAAATGTCTCCACTTAAGGGACTTAGACACCAAACAGATTGGTTCCAGTCAATTACTATACAACGCGTTCGTATCGTTACAGGCCAAAATGTATTTCTCTCAAACATCTAAAACGCTATATACGATTATTGGTTATTTGTTGAGCATTAACAATAACCTATTATATAGCATAATTGGGCTAATTTTTGGAATATGGTAACAGGTAGTTTGGCGACATTTTGGTAAGGCGATAAAGGTTACTAGCTAGGACTTTAGCAGTGTACATGGATAAAGTCAAGAGTGTGCGCAATGCTATTTTTGTGCAATTCTGGGATGTTCTTTTAAGTGAAAATAGGTCGACGTGTACATGGATACCGTGTATGTGCAATTCTTAAAAACGTGGCAAGCGATTCTGCACTTTTTCCCAATTTCGCACCTAATCTTCGTCATGATTAAGCACTTTTGTTGCATAAAAGTTCTAGCATAAGAGTAATTCGGCTAGCAGATTGTTGGAAAAAATATTGAGTTAAAAAAACCATGCCTTTACTTCGTGAAAACAAAATGGCGTCCAAAAAAACTAGCAGGTTGCTGTAGCAGGGTTGGTCGCCAAATTTTCTCCAAAAATCCCCAAGTTACCATAATCCGAAGGTTAACCCATAATTGTTATAGCATTAACAATAACCTAGTTAAGTAAAATTGTTCTGCCTTGGAATCTTTGCGTGGTTTCACATGAATAGCTAAAGACGACGCTATTCATGCTAGCATTTCCGATCCTATATAAAGGTGAAACTATACAAACGCTAGACAAAAGACTGGGAATGTGAATCCAAATAATTGAGCTACTTTTAATCGCTTGAAAAGAATGATTCGCATGCTATTTACTTATTCCCGAAACCAATGAGTCACGCACTAACGTGGTTGGGGAAAAGCACCAGGTAGGAAAGGGACGCTGGCTTTTGGGTGCCCTGCCGATGTCTGATTGCACGGGCGTTTTGGGTGACTTCGATGTGAAACAGCAGCCTGAGTTTGAGGTAGATTTTGAATAAATCTATGTATAGGGCGATATGACCCAGGTCCAAAGAAAATTCCCTGAAAACATCTACTCGGAACTAAAGTTGCTTTTGTATCTAATTATTACTTTTTCATTGTCACTTTCTCTTCACACACGATTTTTGAATATTAAGATAAGAGGTAAAACATCGGTTAAAAAACTTACAGAAGTATTACGAGCAGCTGATGAAGAAAATTTTTCAATTTTTTCAGTAAAATGTTGGCACATTCTTTAAAGGTTTCTAGTTAAATTTATGTTAAAAGAGTCAAAACTTCCATTGCGGTATTGAAGCAAATTTTTTCTAGTAGCATATTTTAAGTTATCAAAAAAGTCGTAGACAAACGTGACGACATTAAAGAGTACCTATTGCAGCTTGAGTTAATAGTAAGATCATTTTTTTCTTACAGCTTATCCACAGGGATCTCGCAGCAAGGAATGTTCTTTTAGCTGATGGCAAGATAGTAAAGATTTGCGATTTTGGCTTAGCGAAGGACTGCTACAAGTATGAAAATTACATCAAGAAAGGAGATGTAAATAAGTCTAGCTTTCATTTTGAAATGAATAATTTTTCTTTTCCTTATTAGAGATTCTAAAACAGCAAGAATCGTCGTTATATTAAAATATATATAAGACTAGTTTCATAGGCTTAAATGCAGAATATTCTTCAGCTGCAGGAGTGCAAATAACAAAATAAAAGCTGTGCTTAGGCAATAACAATGAACAGAATAAAGTACAGCTACTGACCATCCATTGATAAAAAATGAAAACCTGTATGAAATAATTTTTTTAAAAGGTGAGTGTAAAGACGCATCGGAATTGGGATTCTTGAGTAGAACTGAAAAATTCTATGAATGTGAAATGCTTCTAGAAAATATAATTCGCGAACGGAAGATGTTTTTGAAGTATTTTAGATACACAAAATTGAAAATAGAATTTTTTGTCAACAGACCTGTGCATTTACGAGGTGTGACACGAAAACGAGGTCCAATAATTCATTGTATTTATAGAATCAGTTTTCCATGACATTATCACTTTCAAAGTAGTCCCTCTTAGCATTCTTACACTTTTGCATTCGGTGCTGCCATTGCTGGCAACAGTTCTGGAACGAGGTTTTTGGAAGGTCCTTCAGAAGATTCTCCGTTCTAAACATCTTTAACTGAGGTAAAAAGGCTTCCCTTTCAACAAGATTTAACTTTAGGAAATAAAAAATAAACGCATGGAGCCAAACCAGGTGAATAATGTAGACGCCCCATCACATTAATGTTTTTGTCGGTCAGAAACTGCTTAACAGATAGGACCGTGTGAGCGGGTGCATTGTCCTGGTGCAACAGCCATCCATCACTTCACAAATGTGGCCATTTTTTCCATAATTTTTTTCACGAATTCTTTTTAGTACTTCAGTATAGTAGTGTTGATTCACAGTCTGGCCAGTGGGAACTCACTCAACCCAAAAGGCCCGTTCCCACTGGGGTTTATCTGAGCTAACGAACACAACTAACGTAGTCGACCCATCCCCAAAACCAATTTTTTTCCATAGAGCAGCAAGTTGAAAAATCTGAACTGCAGGCACAGCGGAGCTAGTCGACACAGGGAACTGACTCCGTTAGCTCAGATAAAACCCAGTGGGAACGGCGCTTTACAGTTCCGTTAATGTCGAAGAAGCCAATTAATATTGCCTTAAATATTGATTTTGATATACGTGCTTTGTTCCTCCACTCTGAAAACCGTTTATGCCATTTAATCACACGTGGACGAGGCAACGTTTCATCTCCGTAAGCTTCAGTTAACATTTCAAATGTTTCCGTGACTGATATCTGAAGTTTCACAAGAAACTTGATGTTGATTCGCTGTTCGGTTTTTACGTTAGACACTTTTCCTGGCAGAATCCAGTTGCACATGTTCACTCAATGACGCAGTACTCCCAACTGGTGTGATGGGTTAAGTCGAAACTGGCCGCATGGATAGAGGAAGTGTGTGGGAGGACGTCACCTAAACAGTTGTTGCCAACTCCACTCTTTCTTCAAGCTACACAGTCTCGTTTTTTCCATCACTCCTTGTATGTTTTCTTTTATCATAACATGTAGTTTATACTCTTTGGAAGAACTTTTAAGGCTTTCTTGGCTTGGCAATTGCGATTTAAACTACGAGGAATCCTGCATATACCCCACGGGTTCATGGCCGAAATGGGGTCACTGCAAATTTTGTTTAAAGAAAAATAAAGATCTGTAAAGAGAATTTCATTAAAATGCTGATTCTTCTTGCCTTGGAATCTCCAATAAGCGCTATTCGGTGTTTTATTTTAACTCAGATTATTTTTTCCTTCTTAACGTTCTGGTGTTAAATTCATTGTATAGAAAGAACGTTATTTAAATATTCTGCTTTTAACTGAGAGTTTCTTGCGGTTTACTCAAATGATGTATTTTCATTTCAGGGTCCACTTCCTATAAAGTGGATGGCTATTGAATCTATCTGGGATCATATATTTACTACAAAAAGCGATGTGTAAGTTGCCTCTTTGATTACTTTATTAGCAGCTTTCGTATACGAGGACTGTTAGAAAAAGATCGAGCATTTTAAATTGCGCGTCAATGACCGCAGATGGCGTGCTTCGGCAACTGTGCGCAACTACCGGCACATCTTACAAAACATATTACCTTTCCGATTTAGGCGTTCTTTATTAAGTAAGTTCTATTTGATTGAAGTCGGACATAGACTGCCTTCTCGGAGTAGTGGAAAAACAAAAATGAAAATATTGGGGAAAGAATGCATGTGATGTACCAGCTTTTGTCCGGAATAAATAGATTGGCGAAGAATCATAGATGTAGTCGTAGCTTAAATTATCAGACGATAAGTTTAAAAAACAGGATCCATTTGTTATATTTCAGGGGAAATAGCAATTACAAAAATCTGATCTCCGGAGTAAATAAAAAAGAATTACTAATAACTTTTTGTATAAAGTTTACTGCATCGTGACATTTAAGAAAAAGCCCCCGATATTCCTTTGCGAGTCCTTTTATAGCTTCTGGAAAGGCGGGAACATCCAAGAAATGACGTCAGCCTCGTCAGCCAATCCAGTTCGCTTTAAATATATCCAGAACATTCTATAACTGTACGTGTAGAAAAGGCGGGAAAAACAACTTAACTACGGGGCTGTGGATTTAATTCCACGTACTTTCAAATAAGAGACCATCGCCATTAAAAATGAAAAAGACACACAGAAATTTAAGTGTATTCTTGACTATGGAAAATTATTATTACATGCATCTGTTCGACATTTTGCTCAAAACAGGTGAAACTATTCAGGGAATCATTCCGAATACTTAACACACAGAAATGACTGCGGAACCTGAACGCTGTACTGTGATGTATGTCAACACTTTATTTGTAGAGCAGAAGTTCGATGGACGAAGATCGAAGGACTTCACATTTCACGTCAGCAGACAACTTATTGCATTTTCAAAGTGAAGTAAGAATTTGTGGCACGAGTTCAGACAAAAACAAGTAGGTCTACTAGAGAATTCGAACACGATTGAGAGATGTTGTGCAACATGACAACGTTCCAGCTCATGCATCGTCCCTTGTTACCAATAATCAGACAAAAATATCCCATTTTCGTTGTTCTACACCAATCCATATATCTCGACTTTGTCTCATGAGGTGTTTTTGTTTTCTCAAATTAAAACCACTTTGCAAGAGCGTTTCAAGTCCATAGAGAAAATTCAGGAGTTTACGACGACAACACTGTAAGCCAGCGAAGAAACCAGTCAACGGTGTGTTGACACTGGAAGGTAATAGTTTGAAGGGGATAATGGTTGAAAATTTATGTCTTTATCAATAAAACAAAAACAACAAACGTCCGTTCTTTTTTGAACAGTCCTCGTATTATAGTGATCTCAGTCTGGTGATTTGTTACCCACATGAACCTCCGAGAGCTTTTCAGTTATGAATCTAATGCAAAGCTTTCAAAATTTCACTTATTTGAAGTCTGACATTAGATTAATTTCATTACCATTAAACCATTGCTAAGCATGTATGAATATAGTCAGTTAATATTATCAAAATAGCTGTGGACAGTTACAGCTAAAGTGTTCACGTGAAATACGTTATGCGATATGTTAAACAGCAGGTTAAAAATGAATAAATTATTTTGTGTTAACAAAATAATCGTTTCCAACTAACACTATCAACAGGTGGTCATTCGGAATTCTCATGTGGGAATTTTTTACTCTGGGTGGCAACCCATATCCTGGAATTGAAATAGACGAAGAATTTCTACAAGAAACTAAAAGCTGGATACAGGATGGGAAAACCAGAATTTTGTCCAGATGAAATGTGAGTAGACTGGATATTATTTTCTAAAGATATTTTAAATTTGCTTACTTAAATGTATGTTAATAAAGAAGAGTGTTCGTATGTCTGTCTTTTGTACAGATCTACACTTTCATTCCGATGTTAATGAGCTCTGGCACACTTGGCCAAGTGGTAGGTTTCTGTCTATATAAAGATTTAAAAAAAACCACTGCGCAGGGTGCACACTCAGGACGGTATATTAGATGTGCGCACTCATGAAGCCCATCTTGCTTCTCTTAATTTCAGGTCGCCCTTATTGCGTTCAGCTATCAGTGGATGTCCTGCATTCTAATCAAAGAATGGCTACGTTTTTACGAAAATAAATATTAATATTTCTTCAATTTCAATTTTGAAATCATGTCACTCATTTTAGGTTCGCATAGCTGTTGTTGCCTTCCGTTATCAGTTCCTACTAAAACCGTTAGATGACACCACGTTCTTTTACTCTTCGGAAAAGTGTAGAATTTCTAGAGCAAATTTCTTTCGCTAAAATTTTGAAATCGGTGAAGAAATCGGTCAACGTATTTGATAATTTTCCGAGAAAAGACGTAACTAATAACAAAGCAAACATAACTTCTTACTAAAACCGTTAGATGGGGCCGTCTTAATTATATCTTTAGAACAGAATTGAAATTTTCAGTGTAGAACCTTTAGAGTAGAATTTAAATGCTTTCACTATCAGCGCTTTACGAATTCTGTATATATGCAAATTGTTTCAGTGGAATTGTGAGTGAACTGTAGTACTTTATATTTAATGTAACATGAAATGCTTGAATCAGATTAAGCTCTGCTTGAAAAATAAGAATGCAGTGAAGTATATTTAACACAGAGTAAATAGCTATCTGGCTAAATTGGCGAGATAGGATGATGTTCATTGAATGACATCCTACGAAAAGAAAGCAGAAATTTACAAAATACGTGTAGCATTAAAAAAAGAAGAAGAATCGGTTCTTCCTATGTGATAATGATTAATGTGTTTGTGGAATGATCGGAGATCCCGACCACTATCACTTCAATTACCCAAATACCACAGAGCCTATATTTATGGCCTAATAATCTTCAATTTAATTAGATTGTCTATGTATCAGCCATTAGTTTTTATTTATCATGAACGCCCCACGCTTATATTATCCACGTTCATGAATTTTTTGAAAAGAATTATTTAATCTATTATTTCCAATAAGCTGTTTGACAAATATTTTTCTTCCTTTCAATGCATTAAATACCATACCCGAGTAAAACCTCAGTGCATAAAAATCTTTTTTTTTTTATTGTATTCTTACGAATTCTGTACATATCAAGTAATTTTAGTGAAATTACGTGTAAAATTCCAATATTATTTTGTATAATGTAACACGAAAATCTCAACAAGCGAAACTTTACCGGAAAAGTAAGAATACAGTTTATTCAAATTTGCGTAAAAAGCTGTCTCTCTCAATGGCGAGATATCGCCAAGCTGGCGATGGAGTTGGCGACTAATTTTTGTCTCCAAATTTAGCGAGAAATGGCAAAAGTCGTCAAAACATGGCAACCATTTGGCGATATTTTGGTCCACTCCCTTTTTAAATGTAGAGGGTTTTTATTGTAATGAATGACTGTAATTGATCCGCTGCGAAACTGTAACCGTATCAGGCCTCAATGTCTCGATAAATTTCGAGAACTGCTAGAGATTTCTTGGCAGCCGGGCAGAAACTACATAAAGCCGGAGAGAGCACCAGTTTGTAAGTTGTTAGTTCAGATCTGAATTTAGAGTACTGAGATATCAATAACAGCTTCGCCTTTTAGATGAGCTTTGCATTATGTTGTTTCACATTCTTAGTGTAGATGCAAGTACTGATTGTACTCTGTGAAACTCTAAAGAGGTGTACAACTATTTTGCTGGGAATTTAGAGAATTGTGAAGTGCTTCTTTTGATAAAATAATTTAAGCATGGTTTAGTGAGCATTCCGTCTAACTATTAAGAAACCATATGCATGCAGCAGTATTTTATTAATTTATTAATATATAATTTATGTATTATATTTATCGGTTACGTGTGCATTCAATCTAGGTATTCAAAACCCGTATGTATGCAGCAGTATTTTATGAATTTATTAATACATAATTTATTACTTATATTTTTAACTATAATAGGCGTTAGCCCAGAAGGGCTACTAATTCCGTTTAGGCATTTTGCGTTGGTTCACCATAAAAGTCTGAATCACTTTTCAAATTGTTGCCACAAAATGTTAGAGCCCTACATTATATTTTAAAAAATTAAATAATGAAGAATCTGCATGAATGTATCTATGTTACTCGCATTGCGAAAAAGCAACTGTACCTAGAGACATCAAATTTTGAATAACGTAGTCCTCCACTCGAATATGGGCATCTGGAAGCCCAAATTTAGAATTTCGAAATTGTTTTATTATCTATTTCGTATTTTGTAAAACTTTTAAGAACTTTTGATTAAAAAACTCAACGATTTCAAAACGTTCCATTAATATTAATATCGCGTGCATCTTCAATCACGGCTATCTTATGCGGAAGGTTTCTTTACATTGCTTACTGGTGTTATGTACAGCCTAGCATCGCAAAAACGTAACAGTATCTAACGGCATTTTGCATCGAAGGACTTTGAATATCTGTATCCCTTTTCAAATAGCATTTTGAATCAATCGTGAAAAAAAACACCGCTTTGGAAGTAATATAAAATCTGGAAGCATTCAGATTTTTTTTTTAATCATTAGCCCAGAGGACCTTAGCTCAACACAGCTGTTAAATTTCATTTCGGCATTTTGTGGCGTTTCACTTTTGAATTTGTTGCCACCAAACATTGTCGCCCTGTGTTATATTTAAAGAAAATTAAATAATGAAGAATCTGCATGAATGTAAGCATGTTTTTCGCAATGTGATAAAACAAAGGTACCTAGAGCCATCAAATTTTGAATAACGTATGTTTCCCCCCGAATATGGGAATCTGGAAACCCAAGTTTGGAATTTGTTTTATTAACCATTTCATATATAAGGTATTTCTCCCACCTTCCTAGCGTGCCTTCGTGGTGTGGTGGTTCTGCACACTGGGCCGGTATCCAGAGGTCCGTGGTTCGATTCCCGGCGGAGGCAGTTCCTAATTTTTCATCTCGTCTGCTTCCAAAAAATTCTAATGTCTCTTCATTGGCGCCCGAACTAAAAGGGTTGTGTATGATGACTCTCCACACCCAGGATTTGGCGATTGAGTCTTCTAAAAACCCCAGTCTCCCTTTAAAAGGGGAAGTATATAAGGTATTTCTCCCACCTTCCTAGCGTGCCTTCGTGGGGTAGTGGTTCTGCACACTGAGCCGGTATCCAGAGGCCCGTGGTTCGATTCCCGGCGAAGGTGGTTGCTAATCTTTCATCTCTCCGGCCTCCAAAAAATCGTAATATCTCTACAACTTTGTAAATCATTTCTGAGTTCTTGATTAAGAAACTCAACAATTAAAGCGAGCAATGGCAACACTGTACGGAAGAAAAATTATCTCCAGCGCGCGAGACTGTGTATGGGAAATTTTTAAGATATGCTGCTTTTAAATTATTTCGCAATATTGCTGTTGAATTGAGTTTTATGGTTTAAGTGCGAAGAACATGATAATTAATAAATTAAGGTAACACTCAAAACTAAAATAAGCCCCTATGGACGCAATATGAAATCTGAAAACTTTCAGATTTTGTATTTCTTTTATTTTTATTATATTTACTTTGTATTTAAGATTAGCACGGTATCAATATTTAATTTTTTTTAAGATTTTGGGTGTTCAAAAGCTTATCTTACCGAACCTAGAAGCATAATGGATGTTGATAACGTAATTAAGATTTCTGAGAAATTCCTGTGTGTATAAATATCAATTCTTAGGATGATTTCTATTTTCAGCTACCAAATAATGCAGAATTGCTGGAATGCTTGTCCCGATAACAGACCTGATTTCGATGATATTTCTTTTGCTATTGGGGACCTTTTAGAAACTGGAGTAAAGCAGGTACTAATTTTATTTTGAAAAGCAATTTTATTAGTCTTTCCAAATGAAACATTTTCAAAGTAAATTTACTCTTCTTATATTTTACATATCTCTCAAATGTAGCACAATGGTACCTTAGTATACATTTCCTTTGAAATGCGTCCGAGTTTGTATAATATTTTGAATGGGTATCTTTGATACGACTTGAATTTCATGACTTTCCGTGAGCCTCAGTAAGCCATTTGCCACTATTCAATAAACAACCGGCATTATAGCTCTGAATTTTCAAATGTTTTTGTATTTACACGTAAAATCAGTTACAAATTCGTTACCAAACAGTTTTAGGAAAGTTAATGAGAAGAGTCAAGCAACGAAGAAGAGTGTTAGCATCATCATAGTGAAAAAAGAAATAACTGAAAAGTATGAAGATAGAAGATGTATTCAGAACTTCGTTATTGCATACCGTATGCCGAGTACGATGGTTTCTGCGGTTGACATTAATAATCAGCTACCATTGCGAAGGCGGTAAATCGCTTACAACAAACATCATAGGGGTACACTGAGAAATTGCTTTTTATCCGGATAGCAGAAAACATTTATGTGCGGGATCATGTGCATTGCTAATAGTAAGAATTTCAGTAGTAAGCAGTATTATTAACAGTACTAAACAGTATTATTAACAGTACTATACAGTATTATTAACAGTACTAAACAGTATTATTAACAGTACTAAACAGCAATAACGGTGTTAATGAATATTAAACATTATTGTTATTCAGTATTAAACAGCATTGTTATTTAGTATTAAACAGCATTGTTATTTAGTATTAAACAGCAGCTCAGTATTAAATACTATTTCAGTACTAAACAACATTATTAACAGCATTAAACAGTATGAATGGTGGGAGAAAGTACTAAACAGTATTATCATTTGGTATTAAACAGCAATTTCGTGTTAAATAGCATTTTAGTATTAAACAGTAGGAATTTTTGGTAATCTCCCAATAAGCGATGTGCTTTACTTAACTTTATGGATTGACAGGTAGGGCCACTACAGTTTTTTTACAGTTATTTTTTCTTCCGCCATTTTATTCAAATTTGCATGATCAGACTTATTATTATATAATATTAATAATTTTTTACGTTTTGTATTATTTATTTTGCTGTGTCTTACGCTGCCTGTAAGAAAACTTTCAATGCGCGAATAAAACTCTTCTTTTAATTAGATTAGCTGGTTAAAGTAGATTAGATTGGCTGATATTTCAATGAATTACTCGATAGTAATATAACTAAGAGAGATCCCCTAAATGTTATAGATGTAAGATAGATCAATTAGTTTCGAGCATATAGTGAATGAAACAGGTAAGAGGTAAGAGAGAATACACCCGATTTGGTACTTCAGTGTTTAGTTGTTTCAAAACATATTTGCAAACAATTTGTTATAAGCAGAGTATAAAAAAGAGAGAAATAATGAATTTAAGAAAGATAAATTAAACACCGTGGCCGCTTAAGATAACAGTAATTTCATTTGCTTCTAATTTCAATTCTTTGTAATGTAAACGTTAGAAAATAAGTTTCTATTTGAGAGTAAATTGATAACAAAGAGTCGAAGACAGCATTTTAAAAATTTTTGGCAAATTGAACGCAAACTTTACATGTGAAGAAAAGATCGCTTTTACAACAATATTGAAAAGAGGTGGCGCCATCTAGTATAAAACTGATTAACTAACGAATTCCGGTATATCGCCAGTTGGGACAATACCGAATTTTTTATGAGAACTTGAGTAATTATTTTCCCTTTATTCCTTGCTGAAAAATTTCGTTTGGAACGGATTAATCTGGAACGGATTAATGACATATACAAAGGAACCACTGTAACTTATTCTTCTGCTATTACTAAATATTTGATTTTATGCACCGTGACAAAAAAGTAAAATGTTTTGATATACTTTTAGCATTATCTGGATGTGAATGCTCCATACATGGAAATGAACCGCAAAATGCTAAATCATGATTACTTTAACCTGCAGACAGCACAGAATCAAGACAATCTCATATTTATGTTAATTCAGAAATATGTAATAACTCCTTGAATGATAATACTTTAGTACTGTCAAAACAGTGTCGTTCTGAAGCATCTTCAAAAGACAAAATGGAATTAAATTTTTCCACATTTTTGGACATTATTACAGAAGATGAAGTAATGAGAACAGAAACAATTGAAGAACAAAGAAATAGAGCACGCCATGCTGATTACCCACTCATGGCAGAAAGCTAGAAATAATTAACGTAGATCTAAAATAATGTAATTTACTCGAACCTAATATTCATGTAAAGATTTAAATAACTATTCTTGCAGAAGTTTGCATTGTTCAATAAAATACTTTCATAAAAAATTTGATGAAAATGAATAATAAATGAATTTTAAAACAATAACTGTGTGTTTTAGTGAGCAGTTTAAATCTTTAATTTCAAGAAATGAAGAATCTATTTGTATGAATGTTTGTATAGCGCAAAAACGGTGGAACCTAGAGCCACCAAGTTTCGAACACTCGTAGTCCTTCACCCGAGTATGTGCACCTCCAACACAGAATATTAAATTTCGAATTCGTTTTTGATTTATTTCATTTTTTCTACAAATTTAATCAATTTTTACTTCCTTGTACGAAGTAAAAAGGAAGTATTGTAATCGCGAAAAGTTTCAGGCGCATATTTCACGAATATCCATTTTGACCGCATCGAATCAATTTAACGATGTTTTTGCATGATATTTGTACTAAGGAAAGATTAAATACTCTTTTCCTCCAAAAAAATTATAAAAAAAATTTTTAATCTGAAATGTTTCAGATTTAAATACGCCAAAGGGGCTTTTTAACATTTGTGTGTTCCTTTCTTATTAAATATCATGTTCCTCGCACTTAAACCATAAATCCAGTGCAACAGCATATCGCAAACAGTTTTAAAACGAGCTATATCTTTAGAATTTCCGATACAGGACTCACGCGCTGGAGATAAAATGTTTTTCTGCACAACGTTGCCATTGCTCGCTTTGAAATCCGTTGTTAATCAAAATTCGTCAAAGTTTTAAAATAGGAAACGATCATAAAACCAATTTCAATTCCTTTGGTCTTCCACATGCTCATATTCGTGGAGGATTACGTTATTCAAATTCGATGACTCTATGTACCGTTATTTTATGACATGTGAGAAATCTAAATACATTTACGCGATTTTCTTATTTAATTTCTTCAATTAATGCAGACCTAACATTTTTGGCAACATTGAAAAATACCGACATTTATCCGTCGACGCAAATGCCAAACGCAACTATAGTCCTCGGATTCAAACTTTGGACTAAAACTGCTTTAAAATGCTTCTAAGAGAATTTTTCGTGGCGTCTGTACGAACGTATTTCGTACGTACGTATCTCGCTACTCAAAAACGAGTAGGCTCAAAACATTGAAATTTAAGGACTGGTATGACGTGTAGTGTACCTCGTTTTGGTTGCAATCGGCCGCACCAACGTATATAAATATATTTTATATATAATGTATCCATCTGTTACCCGGCTCAGTGATCTCAGTTTTTACTCGTATGTGTTGTAAATTGTACATTTTTTTTAAAAATGATTGAATTATGTGTCTTATCTTCCGGTTAAGTTTTTATGCCTTTAGTAAATCTGTATGCAATATTTTTAGATTACAACAATTAAAGTTGCTTAGTGCCTTAGCCTAATAATTTTCTTCATGGCGGCCATTGCTTGCTTACTTTGAAACAGAGTAGTGGATTGTGCCAATCTAGAGAAAGCAAGCTTCGCATAACAAGGTAATGCCTTCATTTATTATGTGATTAAATCTGTTATCCTTTCTGAATTTTTCGAGGAAATAAGTGTTTAAGATTTACTTCGTAATTTTTTAATACATATTTTGATTTTTATGTATTTTTGCTTGTCGTGAAGTGAGAACTGAATTAATTGAATGAGAATACTCATCGTGTGAAAAACTGTTCTCTTATTTCTTTTACACATCGTTCTAGCTTTGTATTATAGTATTTGATAGAACATGTGCAACGATTAGATGATTCTTTAAATGATCTAATTTTTGTGCAATCTGATAGCATAAAAGTTGCAAAGGCTACTAAAGGCTGCTCTTGCCAGTTTCATAAGTTATAATATGAACGAAATATAATGCTGTTAAGTAAACCTAGCGCCAGAGTGTCGCTATGGTAAACAAATAGAATGAATTTTAAAGAATTCATTAATTCTATTGTGGTTTATGCGCTGTCGGCGAAGTAGATTTAATTCCATCCAATAAGTTTAAACGAAATTCAAGAAAAAATGCGTATAATTTAATATTCCGTACAAGGAAGTCATGTGGTGCACACATCAGATTTTTTATTAACAAACTCAGCAATTTAAAAGCGAGTAGTGGTAACAATCCTAGAGGTAAAACATTTTTATCTCTTCCTTTCCAAACTGTTGCCATTCAGGGAAATGCAAGATATTTATGTTTCAATTTTAATCAATAAACTCAACTACATAAAAGCAATTGTGTTATCACTGAAGTAAAGTACCTTTCATTTACCAACGTGTTGCCATTCAGTAAAGTGTAATATATTTAGATTTTAAATTTAATCTCTGATTGAATTAAAAGACCAAGCGACACACTGTAGAGTCATTAGAATTTTTTTTTAAACAGGAAACGTGAACCATATGGAATGCACTCGCCGTGACTCGAACACTAGACGGCTTGAATACGCGCCGAGTGTGCTAAACGTTACACCACGATGGCATACAGAAAGGCGTGAGAAAATACCTTATATACTTCGCCTTTTAAAGATCATTCACCACAAGTTCGGGCGCAACAGTAGAGTCATTAGAATTTTTGAAACAAGAAACTTGAAAACTAAGCAATGCTCTCGCCGGGACTCGAATCCTGGACCTCTCGAATATGCGCCGAGTGTGTTAACTGTTACACCACGAAGATATTCAGAAAGGAGATACAAAATACCTTATAAAACTTTAATTACTTACTTAAGGAGAAAGCTAGAAATAATTATTTTGACTCTAAAATAATATAATTAGGTAGACATCGCTGAATGTGATCGCTTTTGTCCATTGCTATTTTGATACCATTAAACGATCAAATGATGTATCTTTCAAATGAGCAATGGGTTTTAACTGCTTCAATGTAAACATAAGTAGGCACATTTACAACCTTTTAATTAGGAAAGTACAAAAGTTAGGTTATGAACTCTTCATAATATCTTTAATGCAAAAGTTCTTCATGACGTTTTTCGAAATTATATGACTTATGCTGTACCTCTAATCTTAATACTTGGAGGACGTCCCTGATTGGAAGAGGACTTGCCAGTGTAAAATTTAAAATTAGGGAAAAAAAAAAAAAAAAAAAAAAAAAAAAAAAAAACTTTATACATTTAAACTTAGGAGAAAAAGTTGTGCAGAATTTTTTTTAGCTCGAAGGAGCAATTTGCCCAGAAGTGCTATTAGTTTCCTTTTGGCATTTTGAGTTGATTCACTAGCAACGGCGAATCACTTTTTAAATTTTTGACACCAAATGCTAGAGCCTCAGTATTATATTTAAAGAAATTAAATGAAGCAGAGTCTGCATAAATGTATATATTTTTCTCGCATTGTGATAAAATAAAGGCACCAAAAGCCATCCAATTTTGAATAACGTACTTCTCCGCCCGAATATGGGCATCTGGAAGCCCAATTTCGGAATTTGTTTTATTATATGTTTCATATTTTTTAAAGCATTTATGAGTTTTTGATTAAGAAACTGGACGATTTCAAAGCGAGCAATGGCAACACTGTACGAAAAGATAAAAAAAAAATTTTATCTCCAGCGCGCGAGACTCTGTATTATTCTAAAGATATGCTCTTTTAAATATTTTGTGATTTTGCTATTTAATGGCTTGAGCGAACTTTATTTTATGGCTTGAGTGCGAAAAACATGATATTTAATAAATAAAGGTAACACACAAAAAGTTAAACAAACGGCCCCTGTAGGCATAATGTAATTTTTTTTTGGGGGGGGGGCTCATTTACGAAGAAGGACCTATCTAATCTCTCTCATAATTCATAGAGTTTTAAAAAAAATCTTTTTTTTTTTTTTTTCTTAGAATATTTCGAATTGTTCAGTTATTTTCTAAGCGAATAAAGCTTTTATTTATGGAATCTTATCAGAAATTAAAAAGAAGCTTAACGCTTAACAGCGCTACTACACTAAATCAAATTTACTACACTAATCAATATTCATAAACACTAACTACTACACTAAATCAATATTCATAAAATATTGAACATATCGACTAAACAGCTGTAAAAGAATGGAGCAGCAAAATGTGAGCGAAACCTAAACAGATTTGAGTGCTGCCAGGTACTCACTGTTTTTTAAAGAACAAGCTCCACTGTTATTCGGTGATATATAATGAGTAATGCTTTCTATGTCTTGCAAACAGAACTACAACTATGATTTTCAGGATCACCTTTTATAGTATTTCCATTGCGAATATTCTGTACGCTTCCGACTATATCCTCATGCTGTGAGCGAACTTAACGCAAATTAAAAGTTCTTAAAAACTATGTGAGATCATCAATGAGTCAGGAACGTTTATCAAATCTCGCGATTCTATTAAATCGAATATCAAACATTAATCAAACATCAAATTAATTATGAGGATTCAATAATATTTGCAAAACAAAAGATTAGCAGTGTAAAATTTTCGTTTCTCTTTCCACAATATTTTAATAACATTAGCAAAGAGTTAAGAATATAAAATTACTAATGAACTAGGAAGTATGGAAAACTAGACAGGAAGTACAAATACTAACCTTTTCCTTTCAGTGACACCTGCATATAATGTGTCAACTGTGGGAGGGGCTAAGACCACTAAATATTGGTAATTCGACCTAACTTGGGTTTAAACCCAGGTGAACGGAGGGACTGTACGGTGTTTTTCCGCATGCGTAACGGAAGTAGAGCCAGTTTTCCTCAGAAAGTACTCCATGAAAGCATCCGTCCCCTTACGCAAAGGCGTGCGTGGTTTCGCCGTATTCAAAAATCTAACATAAGCTAACTTGTAGGCAAAGTATACGGAATGATGAGAAGCTTTGTGGAAGGCCGCTCTCCCTAGAGCGGGAAAACGATGGTAGCGAGGATTGGGCAAATAAATCGACTTATTATATTGCAATAAAATATATACATGTCCATTAATTAAAACCTTACTTTTATTCCTTTCTGCGGCAGGATGGTATTGAAAATATTTATTATCAAATAAAAAAAAAGAAAGAGAAATATGAATATACGGGCACTAAAGGGTTAATAAGAGTGACTACAAAAGGTCTAAATTTTTTGCTACTAAAACATATATGAATATTTACTACTCGGGCACCTGTTAAATGTT